GATAGAGAGAGAGAGAGAAAGAGAGAGAGAGAGAGAAGAGAGAGAGAGAGAGAGAGAGACGAGGAGAGACAGAGAGACAGAGAGAGACAGAGAGAGAGAAAGCAAACAGAGAAAAAAAAAATAAACAATCCAGACTGCATTTAGCAACAGCCTTTAATACAATCGAAGGAACAAGGAACTCCAGATTGCGTGAGATCCATAAAAAATTAAACCGATAAATATCAGAAAAGACACCCCTTTATCAAATTAATAAGACCTACAAATACCACAACGGACGATCTATCACTATCACAGAGAAACAATCTAAACTTTTTATCAATAAGATTTTAAATTTTCACAAGTTAAGCCCTCCAGAACGCCCCCCTTAAATAAAATAACCAAAATGAACCAATTCCACATCTGATCGTTCAAGTTCCCATCTAACATTCAGGATGTTAGTCTCCCATAAAGCAATTTCTACGAAAGGTTCAAAATTATGGTACAATTCCGTCATCTCCTCAACACGACTCTCTCCTCCATAATGGTATTAAGAATTCAAAATCCAAAATTGAATGTAAACTTTGGAGTGTAGGTTGACTATCGTCTGCAAAGAGAGAGAGAGAAAATAAATTAGAATGGAAATTAAGGAAATCGAATTATTTTCACCGTACCCTTAAAAGTATAATGGTGTTGATGTTGACTTTGTTGTTGTTGTTTTTTGTTGTTGATGATGATGATGATGAGAGGAGGAGAGGAGGAGGAGGAAGAGGAAGACGAAGAGAGAGAAGAGAAGAGAAGGATGAGGATATTATTGTTGATAATAATGATAATAATCATAATAAGGAACCGATAAAGAAAAGTAACAGTAATTGTAATAGTAATAACAACAATAATAATGATAATAATAATAAAGAATATTTTTATCGCTCCTTAACTGTCTCTCAAGGAGGAAGGTTACAATCTTTCGTAAAATCATCCCACACTTGCTATTTATATCTTTGATCTTTGAGAATAACCAGGAGCCTTAATACTAGTTATATCAGTTTACTTTGTTTTAAGACTGATTTGATTTGAAGAACAATAAGCATTAACTTCAGGAGTAATAAAGGCATCTCTTAAAATATTCATAACTTTAACATCATTACATTCGTGGCTCTAATTCTTAAGGAAAGCCAGTGTTTGTGTATCGTCTGCCGTCGGGGAATGTTTCGTGTGATATTAATGAGATACATGTTCCTAATTAATTATGTACAGCAAGCCTTTCACTGTAGATTGTAAGTTGGATTGTTTTTTCTCTTTTTTCTTTTTTCTCTTCTCCTCCTACTCTCTTTCGTCAAATTTCTCTCTTCTCTTCCTTTCTTTCTTTCAACTCTCTCTTATTCTCCCTTTCTTTCCTTCTTACTTTTCTCTCTTTTCCTTCCACTCCCCCTCCCCACTCTCCCACTCCCCACTCCCCACTCCCCCACTCCCACTCCCCACTCCCCCCACTCCCCACTCCCCACTCCCCACTCCCTCTAAACTAAACCACTTCCGAACCGAAACTATTTCAAACACCCATATTTAAACTCAATGACTGATGACATAACGTAGACTCCCTTCCTACATGTAAGGAGCTCAGCGCAGCACAACTTGCAAGGCCAAAGGAAGTGCACTGACTCAGGCAAACTTCTCCTTAAACAAGAGGGTTTGGATGTAATAATTACAAACTTGGTCAGGGGGAACTTTAGCGAAATTTCGAAGGATCTATAGAGTAAGTTTTGATAACGGAATGCATGTGATATGAAATGATTAAGCGAGGGGGGGGATGATATGATTTTGATATTTCTTCTTTTTCTGCTTTTCTTTTTTTTTGTTTCTATGTTTTCTTTATTTACTTTTTTTCTTTTCTTTTCTTTTTATTTTCGCTTCTTTTCCTCTTCTCTTCTCTTCTTTTCTTCTTCTTCTTCTTCTTCCGCCTTTTCCTCTCCTCTTCTCTTCTTCTTCGTCTTCCTCCTCCTCCTCCTCCGCTTCTTCTTCCTCTTCTTCTTCTTCGTCTTCTGCTCTTCCTCCTCCTCTTCCTCCCCCTCTTTCTTTCACTTATGCTTCTTGCTTTTTTCGAGTTATTGATTTTTATTGATTTTTTTCGGAGCTAGGTTGTGTATAATACAAGGGTTTGTGCAATATTGCATTTTCTCTTATTCATCTAATGCAATTTAACAAATATTGTAAATAAACAGCAACGCCATCTCTATTATGTATACATTAAAAAAATAATAATAATAATAAACAAACGGAACAATAAATACAAACAATCACCATGTTTGGGGTTATTGACCGTACCTCTTTGCCCTCTTGCTCTCAATGGTTGTAACAAATAAAAGTTCCTGATTGTCTGTCTGTGTACCGATGTGTTTTAACTTGTTTTTGTCTGTGTTTATGTGTTTGTGGTTGTTTTTGTTTGTGTGTATTTGTTTATGATTGTGTTTATTTTCTCTGTCTTTGTTATTTTATTTGTATCTGCCTTTTTTATTTTCTCTGTCTTTGTGATTTTATTTGTATCTGCCTTTTTATTTTCTCTGTCTTGTGATTTATTTGTATCTTTTTTTATTTTCTTTGTGTCTTTGTGATTTTTTTTGTGTGTGTGTGTGTGTGTTTTTTTGTTTGTGTGCGCGTGCGTGTGTGTTTCTACCTTAGAGCCGGAAAGCTAAATAAAAGCGCTTAGGTTTCGGATGATTTTGCAACAATGTTGAAGCAGCGGACTGAGGATGTTTTAGAAAAAGGACAACTATTTCTTTTTTCTTTTTTTTATTTAGAGGGGGTGAAAAATATTGAGTAACGCAAACACAAAAATAATAATAATAAATAAATAATATACGAATTCACATGCGCATACAAATACACACAGATACAAACACAAAAAGAACACACACACACACACACACACACACACACACATATAATATATACATACATATATATATATATATATATATATTATATATATATATATATATATATATATATATATATATATATGCGAGAAAGAAAAGCCAAAAACGAAAACGAATTTTACAGCAAATGTCTCGCGGTGCCAAACACAATGTCATGTTAGGTCCGACAACAGTGGCCGCTGCAAAGCTTCACGAATATTTGAGCAGACCAGCAGAGTGTCAGCAGGAGACACTTGTAACGCAGATGTTATTATATTGTTCTCGCTGAATCGTCGAAAAGGGGAGGGTTTCACAAGCCCGAAAAGCGTGGCGACTTGGCATGAAAAAGAAAACGGACGGGAAATGCTCTTCTGGTTTCTCTCTCTTTCGTGGGTTCTCTTTTTGTTGTTTATGTGTCCGTTTGTGGGCGTTTTTTTATGGGGGGGGGGGGGGTTATACGCGCGTAAATACACACTGCGTGTATAGATATGCGTGTGTGTACTTTAGCTTCATAGCAGTATCAGAGTGGAATATTTTAACCATTTTTTTATGCGGTTTGCAGGGAAAAGCTTTTTTTTTTCGTTTTAAGAAAGGGAAAGAAAATCATATTCGAGGTATTTTTATCCGATTTTTTATGCTTTTTGCAGGGGATTTTTTTTTTCTTTTTTTTTTTTTTTTTTTTTTTTTTTTTTTTTTTTTTTAGAAAGGAAAGAAAATCATATTCGAGGTATTTTGCTTCAGGATGATAGCGCCTTTTACCTCCCCAGGCAGACTGAAGTATGAAAATTCCCTCTCGAGAGCAAGGACACATGCTATGTATCCCGGTCTGTCATTTTCCCTGATTTTCCCCTTTGGTGTTACTGAGAACTGGTGTTGTAACTTGTAAATGACACATGCAAATACGAACCGATGTATGAGAGTATCTTCTGCTGCGCCAACTGAAAAAAATAATAAGAAAAATGGATTTATTTATTTCTCGTGTTTAGGGTCTGCAAGATTCTTTTAATTTGAAATCTTTGGTTTGTCATGTTATATTCTACAGTCTAGATAAATATCATGATTGTATTTATGTAAGAACTTAGCTAGAATTTGTGACAACGATTGTTCAACATTAATTTTCGATAATACCATTAAGTTATATCTAACTGGACTGAGGACTTCAACACGATCCTTCAATTATTTCCCACACTTTACAGAGAAACAAAATATCCCAGAGTTTGTCCAGAAGCAATGACTGTACTGTACTGTATTTCATGTCAGCTTTCGGAGTGTGAAAATATACCAACTATCGACCCCGAGTTCTATTGTACTGAAGGGTACATTGTCCGCAAATATGATCTCAATATAGGGTAAAGGTGTTTGTTGCAAGTCCACAGGCTTGTTGCATCAACTCGCTGTGTTTATTTGCCTCATTTGCAAATATGGATTGTAATGCACGATCTTATTGGCTCAAATCTGCGTTTAGCAACTTTTAGCCTTAATTGGCTTGTAAAAAAGAGAGAAAAAAAAACATGAAAAAGGTGTTAGAAATTAAGTTTAAAAACGGAGAGAGGAAAGTAATAGAATGAGATTTAAGGAGAAAAAAGAGAAAATAATTTAAAAAAAACGGGGAAGGAAAGTAAAAGAAGTAAGATTTAAAAAAGAAGAAAAAGAGAAAATAAAAAAATAGGAAAGAAGGAAAGTAAAAGAAGTAAGATTTAAGAAGAGGAAAAAAAAAAAGAGAAAAAAAAATGGCGAGCACTTTTGAATTTTGGGCTATTGATAATCTAATCTAACTTCACCATGCCCTGGAAAATAAAAATGCTTCAAACAGATTTTCGTGACTTGGCTAAATGATCACGACGCTCCAGTGAGGTTGAAAATCCAATACTTTGCCTCAGTTACCCCTTCGAAACATCATCCACGAATATTCAAAGTTGGAAGACTGGCTCACGGAACTAAAAATAAAAATAACAAGAAGCATATTACAGCTACTGCCGAAAGAAAGAGAAAATAATGAGGATAATCTGATAAATATGATTCACTAGATTACAGGAGAGGACTTAAAAGGAGTTTAGGGGTACTCAGTTCAGTAACAGATTTCGTAAGAGCTTCCAAATTGTTTGCTCTCAGCCGTATGCGCATAGTGAGTGTGGAAAACATTCGCAGAAACGTATCCATGTTGACAAATGTAGAAAAAGGTATGAATGAGACTGGATATCTTCACAATACAAGAGATGTATTTGACCGGTTTCGATTACGTCTTCATCGATTTCTGATGAAGACGTAATCGAAACCGGTCAAATACATCTCTTGTATTGTGAAGATATCCAGTCTCATTCAAAACATTCGCAGATAATACAGATAATGGACAGAGACATATAGGTTTAGAGATGGATTCAGATATAGATCTAGATAGATATAGATAGATACAGATTTAGAGACGATTCAGAGATAGATATAGATAGATATAATTAGAGATGGATTCAGAGATAGATATAGATATAGAGATGGATTCAAAGATAGATATAGATAGATTTAGAGATGAATTCAGAGGTATAGATTTAGATAGATAGATTTAGAGATGAATTTAGAGGTAGACATAGATAGATATATAGATATCGATTTAGAGATATTCAGAGATATAGATAGATAGATATAGATTTAGAGATGGATTTAGATATATAGACAGATAGATAGATATAAACATTTTGCTTTTCTTCTCTTTTCTAACACACACGCAAAAATCGTAGTCTGCAATATCGCTTGCCAAACGAATGAAAACGTGATGACGAAATAACAAAGAGACACGACAATCACTGATGCGAATAATTCCAATCATCATCACTTTCATCATTATAGGAATGTAAATTGAAAGAAAAATTTACATTTAACTCTGATACACGAGCTTTGGGAAATACAAAGCGCGCGTAGGGTTATGGCAACACTGACTGCTGTAATTGTGATGCCAATTGTTTTATTATTATTATTGTTTTGTTATTGTTGTTACTGTTTTTTTTTTCTCATTTTTGGAGTTATTGTTTTCATTTTTATTACTTTTTATTTACGTAATTAATGTTAATGTCTTTATCGTCAATGCCATCATTGTAATTAGAATCAGAATAATAAGAAGAATGATAATGATAGTAATAATTATAGTATAATAATTATAATGATAACGATAATTATGATAATGATAAACTATTATAATAACACTTTGGTATATTTTTTTCCTTTATAAACCACCATCATTAACTTTTCTTTTTCTCTCTCTCTCTTCTATAAACTATAATATAAACTATAATAATAACTATAATAATATTTTTTACCTTTATAAACCACCATCATTAACTTTTTTTTTTTCTCTCTCTCTTCTATAAACTATAATATAAACTATAATAATAATTATGATAATATTTTTTACCTTTATAAACCACCATATTTTTTTTTCTTTCTCTCTCTTCTATAAACTATAATATAAGTTTTAATAATAACTTAATAAATCTTTTTATATTGATAAACCACCAATCATTAACTTTTTTCTCTCTCTCTTCTATAAACTATAATATAAACTATAACAATATTTTTTCCCTTTATAAACCACCATCATTAAATTTTTCTTCTCTCTCTCTCTCTTTCACAAAAACGATAAACCATCATTAAACTTTTCTTCTCTCTCTCTCTCTCTCTCTCTTTCAGAAACGATAAACCATCATTAACATTTTCTTCTCTCTCTCTCTTCTCTCTCTCTTTAGAAACGTATAAAACCATCATTAACTTTTCTTCTCTCTCTCTCTTCTATAAACTATAATATAAACAATAACAATATTTTTTCCCTTTAAAAAACACCATCACCATTAACGTTTTCTTTTCTCTCTCTCTCTCTTCTTTCACAGAAACGATAAACCACCATCATTAACTTTTTCTTCTCTCTCTCTCTCTCTCTCTCTCTTTTACAGAAATGATAAACAACCATCATTAACTTTTCTTCTCTCTCTCTCTCTCTCTTTCACAGAAACGATAAGCCATCATTAACTTTTTCTCTCTCTCTCTCTCTCTCTCTTTCACAGAAAGATAAGCCATCATTAACTTTTTCTCTCTCTCTCTCTCTCTCTCTTTCACAGAAACGATAACCACCATCAATTAAAATTTACTCTCATTCTCTTCTCTCTCTCTCTCTCTTTCAACAGAAACGATAAGCATCATTAACTTTTTCTTCTCTTCTCTCTTTCTATATATAACATATAAACTATAATAATATTTTTTTCCCTTTGAAAAACACCATTCATTAACTTTTCTTCTCTCTCCTCTCTCTCTCTCTCTCTCTCTCTCTCTCTTTCACAGAAACGATAAACCATCATTAACTTTTCTTCTCTCTCTCTCTTCTATAAACTATAATATAAACTATAACAATATTTTTTCCCCTTTGAAAAACACATCATTAACATTTTCTTTCTCTCTCTCTCTCTCTCTTCTTCTCTCTCTCTCTCTCTCTCTCTCTCTCTCTCTCTCTCTCTCTCTCTCTCTCTCTCTCCTCTCTCTCTCTCTTTCACAGAAAACGACAAACCATCATTAACTTTTTCTTCTCCCTCTCTCTCTTGTTCACAGAAACGATAAAACCTCATTAACTTTTTCTTCTCTCTCTCTCTCTCTCTCTCACAGAAATGGGGACCTCCGCAAAGCTGTACGCAAACTCTCCTGTACGACTCCCAGCTGGCTCCAAAGTGGGCGTGGTCCTCTTCGACCAGACCGCCCGCACCAAGCTCCCCCTCACGCCCACGCCCGAGACACTGGACGAGCGGCAGAGGCTGGCCACCTCCTCCCTGCCCAGGAACCCTTCGAGGATCGCCCAGAGCCAGAAGTGCATCATCTGCGGACTTCAGGAGGCTGTGCGGGTGAGGGAGAGAGGGAGAAAGGGGGGTGAGGGAAGACGGGGTAGGGGGGTGAGGTCAGAAAGGGGATTGGGGGGTGAGGGGAGAAGGGTTTGGGGGTGAGAGAGAGAGGGGGCTTGGGGGGTGAGAGTGAGGGGGTGGGTGAGAGAGAGAGGGGAGAAAGAGTGAGGAGGCTGTGCGGGTGAGAGAGAGAGGGAGAAAGGGGGGTGAGGGAGACGGGGTAGGGTGGGTGGGAGAGGAATAGGGGGGGAGAGGAGATAGGGGGGGAGGGAGAAAGGGATAGGGGGGGAGGAGGGTGGGAGAGGGGTAGAGGGGTGGGTGGAGACGGGGTAAGGGGGTGGGAGGGAGGGTGAGAGAGAGGGAGAGGGGGGTAGAGGGGTGAGAGAGAGGGAGAAAGGGGGTGAGGAGAGGGGGTAGAGGGTGTGGGAGAGTGAGAGAGAAAGGGGTAGGGGTGGGCGGGGAGGGGGTAGAGGGTGGGAGGGTGAGGAAGAGGGGGTAGGGGGTGAGGGAGACGAGTTGGGAGTGGTGGGAGATGGGGTGGGATAGAGAGGGAGAAGGGTTAGGGGGGCGGGAGGGTGAGAGAGAGAGGGGGATAGGAGGTGAGGGAGAGGTAGGGGGTGGGTGGGAGAGAGTATAGAGGGGCGAGAGGGAGAAGGGTTAGGGGGGGCGAGGGTGAGAGAGGGGGGGATGGGAGGTGAGGGAGACGGGGTAGGGGTGGGTGGGAGCAGGGGATAGAGGGGCGAGAGGGAGAAAGGGTTTAGGGTGGTAGGAGGGTGAGGGAGAGGGGGAAGAGGGGGGAGGGAGAGGTGGTAGGGGGTGGGAGGGAGAGGGAGTAGAGGGGTGGGAGGGAGAGGGAGTAGAGGGGTGGAGGGAGAGGGGTAGGAGGTGAGGAAAAGGGGATTGAGGGGTAGGGGAGTGGGTGGGCAGAGGGGAAGAGGGGGCGAGCGGGAGGTGGAAGAGGAAAGGGTGAGGGAAGAGGGGGAAGAAGGGTGGGTGGGAGAGGGGAATAGGAGTGGTGAGGGAGAGTGTGGGGAGGGAGGGAGGTGTGTGGTGTGTGCGGAGAGAGAGAGAGAGAGAGAGAGAAGGAATTTGAAAGAGAGAGAGAGAGATACAGGCTAGAAGAGAAAAAGGAGAAAATAGAAAGAGCTGTTAATTTAAATTATTTAAAGAGTTTATATTTACTTTATCATTTATTCGTACACTTACTCAAATATACTTCACAACAGAGTAGTTCCATGCATCCGAATATCTATCATATTCATATCAAACTCACTTTTACATTCAGCCATTCAAAAATGATAACAATAGCAACCCTACCTTAATTGCAAACATCAACCATAGTTAATGTAAGTCATGAAATTAAATACTCATTCAATAATAAGGGAAAGAGAAATGGCCTTTTTTTATTTCGTCAACATTATGTAATTTATATTAAATGGAAAATTTCTGTTGCGTTTCATATCCTCTGTGTGAATGTTCTGTCTACTTGTTGCTTTTCTCTTTTCCCTTTGTTCTCTCTCTCTCTCTCTCCATCCTTATCTCTCTTCTTCTTAGTTTTTAGTTTTCTACCAACATCTACCATCCTCCTCTTCCTCTTTCTCTCCTTCTCCTCCTATTGCACCTCTTCCTCTTCCTACTCTTCGTCTTCTTCCTGCTCCTCCTCCTCCTCTTCCTCCACCACCACCCTCCACCCTCCACCTGCATCTCTCTCCTCCTCCTTCCTCCGCCACCACCCTCCACCTCCACCTCATTCTCCTCCTCCTCCCCTCCACCTCCTCCTCTCCCTCTCCACTCTTCTTCTCCCTCTCCTCCACCTCCTCCCTTCCTCCTCCCTCTCCTCCTCTCTCTCCGCCTCTCTTTCACCTCTCTCCTCCTCCTCCTCACCCAACTCCACCTCCAGCACAGACGCTTTTCCTCTTATTCCTCTTCTTCCTCCTATCCTTCTTCTTCTTCTCTCTTCCACTCTTCCTCCATCCCCACCAACCACCAACCAACCACCCAACTCACTCCCCACCTCCACCTCGTCCTCCACAGATGCTCGAGGGCGACATCGACCAGCGCAGTGCTTCCGGTGGGTCATCCTGCTCATCACCTCAGGCTCCCCCATCCCCCTCGTGCCCTTCGACGTGGAGCAGCTGGGCACGGTGGTGACGCAGAGGGGTGCCAGGGTCGTGCCATCATCTACCCCGTGACGGACCGCAACCGCCCCAACCTTCGCCCGGGTGGAGGTGCTCGCCCATCTGTCGGTGAGTCGTTTGTTGTCGCTGGCGCCTTCTGGTCTGCTCTTCGCCGTATGGATAAGAATAGGAATAAATGAATATATATATGTGTGTGTGTGTGTGTGTGTGTGTGCGTGTGTGTGTGTGTACATACACGCACACACACACACACACACACACACACATCACACACACACACACACACACACACACACACACACACACACACACATATATATAATAAAAATATATATATATTATATATATATATATATATATATATATATATATATATATATATATATATATATATATATGCCTTTACAAATACATGAAGTAATACCGTATGAAGCATCTGACTTGTTTAACCTTCCTTTCTCTCATGTGACTGTGAAAATACATTAGCTAATTCCATGAAGTCAAGCGCATGGCATTTATCTCTTATTTATCCATATCCGCCGCGATGGCCGTGGATGCAGGAATAACATTAAATATGTGTCAACATGAATATGAAGGTAGCCCGCCTCTGCAGTGTCAAGGAAGGACCCGTCGGCTGTCATGGCAGAGGGAGCCTTTCTCGAGGTGATATTTAACCCTTCGGGAACTATGGACATGGCATTGGTCTTGAAGGTCATTTTGGAATTTGGTCACAGAAAAGGTGTAATTAAAAAAAAAAAAAAAAAAAAAAAAAAAGTGTAGTTTGGTCACAGAAAAGGTGTATTTTTTTTTTTTTTTTTTTTTTTTTTTTTGGTAGGATAATTTTGGAATTTGGTCACGAATTGTAAGCGGAATTTGTCACAGAAAAATTTTTTTTTTTATTGTTTGTAGGAGTAATTTTGGAATTTGGTCACAGAAAATGTGTAATTTTTAAAAGTTTTTTTTTTTTTGTAGTAGTAATTTAAGGACGGAGTTTTAGTCACAGAAAAGGTGTAATTTTTAAGTTTTTTTTTTTTTTTTTAGTAATTATAAGGTCGGACTTTGGTCACAGAAAAGGTGTAATTATTAAAAGTTATTTTACGTAATTATAAGAACGAAATCTAGTCACAGAAAAAGTGTAATGAGAAATATTGCATTTACATATGTCTTTGAAATTAAAAGTAAGTTACAATGCTATCAAATGACCTTTACAGTGGCAGCTATATTCATAATGATAACTTAAGGGCGATATTTATTACAATAGGTAGTGATAGTATAAGATATACTAACCCTTGCAGCGACACTAGAAATCACCATAGAAAGATTTATTACCTTTATCATCATAAAAGAATTACCTTTACAATAACAGTCTAGGTAATAATCAGAATAATATTAGACCCAAGTAATATATTAAAAATGAACCATAGAATTAAAGCTGCAACAGTAAAATGACATCTTCAGGACTTACCAGCATAGTATTAACAAAGAAATATTATTAATAGTATTAACAAAGAAATTTATTAATAGTATTAACAAAGAAATATCAATAATAGTATTAACAAAGACATATTAATAGTATTAACAAAGAAATATCAATTATAGTATTAACAAAGAAATATCAATAATAGTATTAACAAAGAAATATCAATAATAGCATTAACAAAGAAATATCAATTATACATTAACAAAGAAATATCAATAATAGCATTAACAAAGAAATATCAATAATAGCATTAACAAAGAAATATTAATAACATGACCAACCGTAATAAAAAAGTACATATTTACGCCTAGCAAGCGATGATAATAAGCAGACGAGAGCCAAGATTGTTAGAGAATGGTGCCAATCTTCAGTTAAGAGCTCTGTCCCTTGTACGGCCGCCCAGCAACCCCACCATCATTCACACGTCACACTGCTGTAAATGAGGTATTGTGAGGAAGCTGTTCCACGTCCTGAACAACTGTCACAGGCTTTATGCTGTTCTAGGAAGCCTTTGTCTGCTTCTCTCTCTTCACGCTCTCCGCTCTTTTTTTTTTCTCTCTCTCTCTCTTTGTTTGCCTTCTCTTTCTGTTCGATGTCTGTTTGGTTCTGTTTCTGACTGTCTAGGTCTCTCTATCTATCTCTCTATCTATCTATCTTTTATCTATCTTCTATCTCTCTCTATCTATCTATCTATCTATTTATCTATCTCTTCTTTTCTTTCTCTTTTTCTTCTCTCTCCTCTCTCTCTCTCTCTCTCTCTCTCTCTCTCTCTCTCTCTCTCTCTCTCTCTCTCTCTCTCTCTCTCTCTCTCTCTCCTCTCTCTCCCTCTCTCTCCTCGCCATGCATAACACTTTTATATCTAGATGCGTTTTGAGATTATCATGCTATTTATTACAGTTTCCTTTATAGTCCACTTTCCTTTGATTTCTCGTAATTCCACATAGCAACAAACTATGAAAGAGAAATCAAACACGTGTCTTTGGCTTAAGGTATTATGTTTGTAAGACTATGAATGTGTTAGCATGACTGTCATTGCAGAGTTCCTGCATATGAAGACACACACAAACAAACACACACACACGCTCACACACACACGCTCACACACACCACTCATCTCTCTCTCTCTCTCTCTCTCTCTCTCCTCTCTCTCTCTCTCTCTCTCTCTCTCTCTCTCTCTCTCTCTCTCTCTCTCTCTCACACACACACACACACACACACACACTCACACACACACACACACACACACACACCACTTACCCCCATCCCACCCCTCCCTCCCCTCCCTCCCTCCTCCCTCCCCACACACATGCAAAGACAATACAGCTGTCTCCACCAGATCCTACGGTCGACACCCCTCTCCCTCCCCCTCTCCCTCCTCCCTCCTCTCTCCCTCCCTCCCCTCCCCCTCTCTCTCTTCTTCACCTGTCTATCGAGAATGTGTGTTTCTTTGTCTCTGTTGCTCGTGTCCTTGGGTGCTTATTATTTCCTGCGAGTGTGCTGGCGACAGGGCGGTCTTGGGCGCCGACGTCTGTTCGCGTTCAGCGTCTCCTTCCGCTATTCACCCCTTTCTCTCTCTTTTTTTTTTTGGGGGGGGGGGGGGGGGGTATTTGTTCGTTTGTGTTGGCTTGTTTTTGTTTGTTTGTGCATTTGTTATTATTGTTTTTATTGTTATTATTATTATTATTATATTACTTTTTTTTCTTGCTTCGTATTGTTTTATTAATAATATTATATTATTATTATCATTATTATTACTATTTTATCATTATTATTATTAATTATTATTATTGTTACTTTTTTTTCTTTTTTTCGTATCGTTTTTTTTTTTTCTTCTTCTTCTTTTCTAATTGATTCGTTTTGTTTTTTGCTATTTTATTTGCATGGTTCTTATTTGCTATATTATTTTCTCCCCTTTCGTTTTTTTTCTTCTTCTTCTTTCTTTCTTGCTTCTTTGTTTTCTCTCTTTTTTTTATTTTTAAAATATTTCTTTGTCCTCTTCCTTTTCTTTCTTCCCTTATTCTTTTTTTTCTTCTTCTTTTTGCGCTGTCTCCTCTCCCTTTTTCTTATTCTATTTCTTTCTCTACATTTCTTCCTTTATTTTCTGCCTCATCTTCTCCAAAAATAAATCTCCAAAATCTATCAATGAAAAAGAAACGATCCAACAAAAAGAAAAAATACAGAAAAAAAAGGAAGAAAGAAAAAAAAAAAAAAAAAGAAAAAAGAAAAAATACAGAAAAAAAAGAAAAAAGAAAAAAGAAAAAAAGAAAATAAGAGAAAAAAAAAAACAAAAAAAATAAAAAAGAAACAAGAAATAGAAATAAGAAATAAAAGAAAAAAAAATAAGAAAAAAATAAAAAATAAAAATAAGATAAAATAGAACTACTTTTCAGGGCTGAGCTTTGGGCAGCCAGCGGGCACTCAGCTCGAGCTCCGCCAAGTATATTAAAACATATTATGAGATCGAGGGGAGCAGCGGGAGTGGGGGAGGGTGAGAGAGGGAGGGGGAAGTGAGAGGGGGGAAGGGAGTTCGGAGTGAGAGGGGGGGGAGGGGGGAGGGAACGGAGGTGGGGGTGAGAGAGGAAGGAGTGAGAGGGTGGAGGGAGTGAGAGGGTGGGAGAGGAAGTGAGAGGGGGGGAGAGGAAGTGAGAGGGAGAGGGGGAGAGAGGGGTAGGGAGTTAGAGGGAGGAGGGAGGATGAGAGGGGTGGGAGGGGGGGTGAGAGGGAGGTAGGAGTGAGAGGGTGGGGAGAGGAGGTAGGGGTGGACGGGGTGGAGGGGGGAGGGAACGGGAGGTGGGGGTGAGAAGGGTGGAGTGGGGAGAGGGAGGGGGTGATAGGAGGGGGAGAGGGGAAAGGGAAAGTGGTGGAGTGGAATGGAGAGAGTGGAACCGAATAGGGGAGGAACGGTAGGTGGAGGGAAGGACGAATGGAGGGTTGGAGAGTGAAACAGAAGAAGGAGAAAGAGAGAAAGAATAAAAAGGGGGATAGAAGTGGAACTTGGAGGGGAGAGGGGGGACGCAGAGTGGACCCGGAAGGTGCAACGGACTGGAAAGCAGACGAAAGTAAAGAGAGAAAACCGAGCAAAACATCATAAAGAACGAAACGAGAATAGGAAGCAGAAAGAAAGAAAGAAAGAAAGAGAGAGAAGAAGAGGAACAGAAAGTAGATCTTCTCCTAAGTCTGATCTCCGCCACATGGTAGATTATGCAAATACTATCCCTGTGAATATTTGAGAACCTGCTCGAAGCCCTCTGAAGGGATGGGTTTTAATCAAATTTTCCTCTCAAAACACGCCAGGCTTTGTCAGGTCCTGTGATCTTCTACTCCGCGCCAAGACCCTCTGGTCGCGTTATTGCAGTGTGAAGTGTGTCATTTTTTTATGGTTAATTACGTTAACGAGTAGAGTATGATTCGTGCCTTATTGCTGATTCTTTCTATATCGCGAATGGCGTTCTGTGAGGCTGTGCTTTTATTCTTTTTTGTCTGTTGTATTTTATTATTATCATTATTATTGTTATTATTATTATTATTATTATTATTATCATTTGTCGGTTTTGCTATATCTTTGAGTGTGTTTTCTTTCTCTTTCTCTCTCTCTCTCTCTCTCTCTCTCTCTCTCTCTCTCT